ATTATTTGTATTAAGCATGACATCTTCCTACGTTTTATAATGGTAATGAAGCGGGCATCTTATAAGCTATTCAAACAGTTTTTTGTTACTCCAGGAAGTCTCTGTGATCCTCGGCATCCTATCACACAAATCCATCTTGACTTCATTCGAAAGTTTGACGAAGATTAAGACTTAAATTTGCCGTTTTTCTACTTTTTTATGTTAAGTTATCTCCACCCGAGGCTTTAGCTCTTTGTTTCTGTTTAATTTTTGTACTTTCTGCAACTGGGCAAGGCATCCATTGCAGGCTAACTTTCAAGCTATCAGTCTCTCCTCAGTGTGTATTAGTTAGTTTCGCATTTTCTAATGATCTTCCTGCCTCCCAACACCGGCCGGGGTGAGATACCTTTCGTAAGTCTTCGCTCTGCGTCGAGGTGCAGTTAAGGCGCGCCGCAGGTATAGCTTGCTTTTAGTGACTTACCTGTGGGTCGTCTTATCGGCCTACTCATCTGCTTCTTCCAGCGAACTTGCTTGCTTTGATGTTGAGGGTGTTGCATTTTTGTCGGCTCGAGTCTTCAGCAAACTATTCCGGTCGGCCGTTAGATGGACCCCTGCGATAAGGCGTTTATGCCTTCCATGGAGGGATGGAGGATGACAAGATAGGCGTTGAGGTGTTGAGGTGTTGGGGCGGAACGGTGACAACGTACCGATGGCCGAAAAAAGTTTCTATCGGTTGACTGGGTCCCCCGTTCGGCACCCCTGGGAAATATTATTTAGTGCGCGAAGTTAAGAACCACCAAGTTCACCGACTTTTTTGTATCTCCCGGAGGATCGACAGCATTCCAGCAATGAATAGGAAGCTCCTTAACTGATGCGTAGTGGGCAAAACGGAGTTGTTTGTGAGATATTTTGCAAAGTGGATGAGTCAGACGCCCAGAGTCTTGCCGATTAGGAAAACCGTTATCAGCGTAGATCTTCTCGTGTTTCTTATTTCTTCTTACGATTATTACGAACGGGGGAAAATTGGATGGTGTTGTCGGCTAATGATGTGATTCAAAAACATGCTGAAACAGTTATCTTGGTTTGTAAATCTCTTATGACGAAAAAACTAAAATGAAGTCGCGCTTAGCTCATTAGGACATCTTAATTGAGAGGGAAAGGCTTTCTGAATCGCACTCAGTTAGATGGAGAACTTTAACGAACCTATTACAGACGAGAAAAATTCCTTTCGTTTTGTTTTGTCTTGAAGTTTCGATCTATGTCATTGGGCAGCCGCCTTTGAAGCAACCAGTAATCTGGAATACAGCGCATATGCCGAAGAATAGCAGCTGGGCATTTTTTGCATTATCGGTCAGAGGTGTCTAAACTCTAGGTCGAGATATCAACAGGGACTTGTGTTCTATACCCCATCAGTTCGCCTATGGATTGTCGACCAGCCAATTGTTATCCAAAATGATGGAATTTCAATGTACCAATCTACTCTGACTGTTATCGATTATGTTCGGCAGATGTGACTGGATAAGCCCAAAGCTGCATCTTCCACCCCCCCCACCCTTTGCCTTTATCAATATTGGTGTGAAAAACCTCAAAATCAACTAATGTTCTCCTATTTCGCCAAACTTCTGTCCTCTTTCATCCACCAAATTTTGATTTGTTTGACCATCAGTGGGCTTCAAATATTACAGGGGCAGCTTTTAAATATAGCTGGCTATTCGACCTTTGTAAATGTTTTAGTAAGACTTACTAACTTTGCATCCAATGTTACGGCTTCCAATCTCTCTGATAAACCCAAACTCTACATGTGGATATTTACTAAATTCCAAATTTCGAACATTCTACAAACAGACCGTCATCATGTTATCCCTGAGGTGAGGTTTCTTCTCCGAAACTTCTTTTCGCCGTTCCTTGGCCGACGTGGGAACGAGGAAACAAAAGGGGTTTCGTAAGAGGTTACAGAGAGAACGAGTGCGATTTTAAAGTGTGTAAATACTTTTAGGCAGCAAGCAAGGAAGATGCTTTGAAATGCGTCTTAACTGTAACATTGGGTCGCGCGAAACAAAATTAATTCCCTTCAAATGCTGCTGATACCCTCCTTTTTGTAAGCTCGAGTAAAGGATGCATAAGTATAGTAACATAAATTTTGTTTTATTTCTTTCTGTATAGTTTTTCTGTTAAATACTCTGAAAAGTGGCAGATAGGAGACAATGTTTCCTGAACAGTATTCGCCTTACTCAATCCAAAATGACAAAAGTTCGGCCGAAGAAGGCATCATAATGTCGAAACCCGCCATTCCAAAGCTGTTTACGTCTTTATAAGCAGGTACGCGTTCACAGATAACAGCAATGGTTCTGTGATAAAATATGACATATAGATTTTCTCAGTTGTGCACAAATAGTGTGTATAACATCTGACTGGATTGTGAAAAACTCGGTGACCTCAGTTGGGTTCAGACCCAACGGGGAGACTTGAACACAGTAAATACTCTTGTGATCATTTACAGCCCATGAACTTGAACCTTCTGTAATACCGGTCATGTGCTCCGAACACGAAGGGGAAAATTGGCTTCCTCCCTTACCTAGAAACTTAGATTTCGTTTCAATTTGAAGTGGCAGCATTTGCCACCATAATTTATGTTGCTTTACTTTCGCTGTGCGGAATGACAGTTCGACGACGACGCTTCAGTTCGCTCCACAGTATGCTAGGCGCAGGACGGTGGATTTTGTGTATGTGAATTCGTTTACAGTGAGACAGTTTTGGAGCATCTACTCCGCTCCATCACTCACCGCAGGATAATGTCAAAAAGATCGGAAGCGTGCTCGTCTAACAAAGCCAAACAACCCGTCTGTGCATGCCACCAATGACCTGGTCACCACACAATGGGCCAGGTTTTTTACCAAATAGGTCGGTCGGCTACATCCCATCTGAGTGGGATGGCCATGTTAAGAGGCATTGAGCCTGTCTCTCAGTCTTCGAGGCAGTCAAGCCTACACAGTAGACGCGTAGTATTAACCGCGAAGACCCAGCTCTCCTGTCTGTCGGCAGCCTTCTTGGCCGTGACTTTTACTCCAGCAGGAGAGTTTCAAAGGGTGTCGGATCTTATTAGGAAGGTTTGGCAGATTTTAATAATTCAGTTGATCCAGTTGTGAAAAAAACCGCGGTCTCGCGTGGGGGTCAAACCCACACAGCAGAGAAGGCTTTAGTAGAG